GCACATAGGTGGCACTGAGCATGGAAAATGGAGAGAATTCTATTCTGCTTTATCTGGTAAACCCTTCATGAAAACAAAGTTGCTTTCGGTGCTTTTCTGTATCAAATAACTGGGTGCAGAAGTAGAATGCTTTTTAGTTAAAAGATAATATTGACAGTTGTGGTTTCTGCTTTTTTTCTTAAAGTTTTACATTAATTCTGTAGGTTCTTAAAAAGGAACATTTAAGTAGATCATGAATCTTTTGTTATCACAGTTAATATAAAGAAAATCATCTTTATTTTGCAACATGACTTTATTTTCTACTACAAATGGAGAAATTTATCTGTCTTTCAGGCTTCTGCAAAGAACGATGTTTTAAAGGTCTGCAGGAAGGAATATGAGGTATGTATATATATATGTCTGAATTTATCCTGCTAAAAATCAACTGGTTTATAAATTCTGTAAAAAGTATTCTGTAGAAGAGGGAAAGTCCAGTCTTCAATGTTTACAAATATGTAAGGGGTGAGTGTCAGGAAGATGGAATTAAGCTTTTTTCAGTGATGACCTGTGACAGGACAAGGGATAATGGGTGCAAATTGGAGCATAGGAGGTTCAAGGTGAATATCAGAAAAAACTTCTTTACTGTGAGGGTGCCGGAGCACTGGAACAGGCTGCCCAGAGGGGCTGTGGAGTCTCCTTCACTGGAGTCATTCAAAACCCGCCTGGACGCCTTCCTGTGTGATGTACTCAAGGTGACCCTGCTCTGGCAGGGGGGTTGGACTGGATGATCTTTCGAGGTCCCTTCCAACCCCTATGATTCTATGATTCTGATATTCATAATTTTGGATACACTTCTTTTCATCCAAATATAAATTACCTCTCTCTTTAGTTTTTGTAAAAGTATAATACTTTTCTGTAAAAAGGTCTTGTCTTTTTTTAGACTTGCATATATCTTGATTTTAATTTAAAAGGTGCAACTTTCAAAATGGAGACATGGAATCCAAAAAAATCTGTTTCATAGGAATTGTTATGAATATTGTGAGCATTCGTTTCATCAGAAACGTTTTGGCTTCTATAGTGGGAGAGTCAGATTAAGTGACCTAAAGAAATAAACTCAGGAGAAAATAACCTTTTCAGTATCTTATCATAATGTAAATAATTTCAAAATAATATTTTTTGTTACATCCATGGAACTTACAATGCTTGAAATTATTTTTACTCTTCTACTCTTAAAATTATTCATCAGGACATTTTCAGAAATGTGCCTTTACCTGTATTGTTTTGAACAGTTTGTACAAATGCTGTCCTGCTAGGATTTCTTTTCTTTCAATCTGTTTCTTAATCAGATTCCCCCTCCCTCCTTTCATCTAATTTCCTGCTGCCTTGAATTAGGTAGTCCTGCAGAAATTCTGATCATAGTCAACAGTTCAGGATGTTAGATGATTCTCTGTTCTCTTTTTGGGGGGCAGAAGTGTAGCAGGTTTCCTGATTTTCCAAGAAACATTAAATTCCTATTTTTTTTCCCTTTAGTCCTTTTATCTAAACAATCTATGGAGTTTCCTAGACTCTTCACTGTTGCAGTTACCATAGTTTATTCTCTTAAAAAATGAATTTTCATTTTTAAGTAGTTCTGTCTCCTCTCATGCTATGATATGCTATACTGTCAACATCTGTAAGCTTCTTCTCTATTATGCTGGTCTCTTTCCTTCTTTTTTTCTGGATTTCTGCATTGCTGTAGGAGGTTGGCCAATATGGGTTGAAGGAGAACAGGAGAGGAAAGGTAAGAGATTAAAGAATGACTAAAAATAGCCATCTTATTTAATTTTCTGAGTTTTTCTTTTTCCAGTTTTTATCTGGAATTTTGAGAAGTGGATCCCTCACTTATTCAAGAGTGATCCTGCTGTTATTGTACAGAAAACCATAAATTTTTCTATCTGTGTGTCACTAAAGGAGAAAGAGAGGGAGAAAAATGATGGAAAAAGGAATCGGTATTCAGGTTGGAAGAAGGATTTGGTCTTCTGGTTGGTGAAGAAGGGAAGAGAACTTTTTTAATGAGCATTAGGAGTAGTAAATACTCCTGTATTACTGTAATACTGTGTTAGGGACACTGTGTTATTACCTGATACGGTGTTAGGGACAGGAATTAAATATCTGATGTGGTAGATGTTCAGTTATTACAGAATTTTGGATGACAGTGGCTTTTCTTATGTATCTAGGCTTACACGTGCTCATGAAAAATAGTATTTACAATACTATCAGATGACCCATTTATAAAACCCAAGGCAGTTTTGCCTGAGATAGGAAATTTAAAAAAAATACTTCTGGAGGGAACCTGCACTTTTTCATAGCCTAGTCATTCTTTTTGTCTTTTTTAAAAAACAATTTTTTCTTGCTACCTTGGTGAATGTGTCCTGCTCCTTCTGTGATCTATAAGTAGCTTCTGCTTCTGTGACTGGCAGCATACCTTGTGCTCGGTTGGGTTGGCTTGGGAAGAAGCAGAACAACTGGGAAGAGTGGCTAGTTAAAACTGAAAGAGGTGGCATACAATCAGAAACAGCCTGTGAGTCCCATAAATGCAATGTCATGCATACAGTGTTTGCCTTTGAGTTTAAGAAGTCATATTTTGTGCACTAAAAATGAAAATCCAATTTGAGAATTAACGTAAGTGTACAATACAGATCATAGTGATTGTCAGCTCTCAAGTCTGTTCTTGAGGTATTGAATATGTAAGTATGTGGCATGTAAGTAAAAACTAGCTGAATTAAGAATATAAAAGTATCATTCCGTTTTTGTAAACACTCTCATAGCTTACCAATTTTCATAGTTTACCTATATTCTTACATAATGATTTCCCAGAGGAGTTCCACAAGCTTCTTACAATAGTCAACTGACTTGTGCACAGCACTTTTATATAATCTTTTGGGATTAGGGAAGAAACTTAATGAGTTAACCCTTCAGCTTCCTACTAAGCATGAAAATGAGGTAAGTCTTAAAGAGTAGTGCATAGGGTTCAGAGCAGTGAAAAAAACCCAGACTCTAAGCAGATGTCACAAAGTTTGAAGTTGCTAAGCAGAGTCTCAGGTTGTACAGTAGCAGAATCACTGTAGCATTGATGTGCCAGCTTTTCATAAGATTAATTGAAGATGGGTTTTGTGCTGATCATATCTTTCTGGATTATTTTTACTGTAACTATTTGAGGCTTCTGATTCTTCTAATTTGTAGATTTTATATATTTTAGAAATTAATCATGTTGTAATAACATATTAAATTTTGATGAGTGCATTGAAGTTCATGTGTCCTATTGAACATTTTTTATCTTCAAGTAGCACTGTGTACAGAAATTTAAAAATATAACACAACTGATGTGTTAGTATTACTGCAATGTACTTTATTTGCTTTCTTTTGAAAGATTTTATTCTGGTAGTCCTTTTTCCCATCTTTTACTTCTCAGATACTCATTTGTCATCTTCATTTTTTTTCTCTAGTTCTATGCATCTCAACTCTTATCTTTCACTACTTCTTCCAGCTTTCTGCTATCCTGTTCATCTTCCTCTAAAAAGAAGGTAGGTAGGTGAAAGGAAGAAGAAAAACAGTGAAGAATGTATTGATTCTATAAAATTTCTGATTTTACTATTTTCTTAAAGTTCTGTGTAAAGTTGAGGTTCACGTTTTGAAAAGAGTGCATGGAATACATGCTTGGAGGAGTAAATGAAAATAGTGTATAAAGCTTTCAATAAGCTGTGAAGGCTTTATTACTGTGTTTTAAGATCCCTTTTATGTCTTCTATGCATGGAAGGTATAGTATTAAAATTTCCATTAGACTGCAGTTCTCAAGTGCCATCTCTGCACGTCAAGAACCCCAGTTCTTATTTTGTGTGTACTGAAGAATGTGTTCAGACTTCTCTAGTTAATTGGCATTATGAGAGCTTTGCTGCACCTGAGCACTGCCATGAGGTCAGAATATCATTGGAAATGTTGTCAGTTATTTACCTTTTGCTCTTAAAACTATTTTTGACACATAGTAATAAACACTTTTGATGTCCCTGAACTGTTAAAGATACTTATGCTCTCACAGACTTGAGCACTGTTTAGTTTAAGCTGACTTTATTTTCTCAGTTTTGAAATACAGAAACTTAAAATGCAGTGTCTGTAGCTTCAAGTGCTGTAGTAGGGATTCAGAAAAATATTCACTGTGCTACAATATTGGCTTGCTTTATCTTCTAGGGTCCTATGATCCTGTTTTATCATAAGGTTGTAGTGAACGCTGGCTACTAATTATGCCTTCTGGAAAATGCTGTCAGCAGTTTTTAGCTCTTATCTGTTGTCTCTGAGTAATCTAGACAAGCTAATAGATTGTAGCTCAAGTAGCTGTTTAGGACATCATTTAGGAAAAGGTTCCAAAACAGTTTTAAAGAACTCCTAAGGTACATGGCTGTGTGTGGCCCCTGGAAGTACTACTTAACAAATTTTGGGTGGACTCTTGACAATATACCGTATACTGTAATTAATATTGTCATCCTCTCTGCTGATGCGTCTTGTCTCTATTCTCTACTGTTCAAAGAAGGTTGATAGAACACTCTATGATCTTGCCAAAATTTAAGTTCTGGTAATTTTGTTGTACCTTACTTGTGCAAGTGTTCTCACTTCTTTAATGGTTTACATTCTTGAGAAAAATCTTGGCCTTAGTTGTTAGTTACTGCAAGTTTTGAAAGTTCTTAACAGGTGTGCACCATCACTTGAAACTTCAGCTGACTCCACTGAACCTTAGGACGTAACCTTCTGCCTTTATCTTCTGTTGATAAATTCAAAGATTAAATGGAATCAGGGAGAGATTAACAGGACTTCCACTGCTGTTCTTGTAGAGTCAAGCATTTTGTTTCCTAGTGTATTTGTTAACTGTAGGTAATATTTATAAATTCAGATGGCTTTAGTTGCGTAGGATCTATATTAAAATGTTTTATATGGATAGATAATATAAAAGTATGCTTTACAATGCAGAAGACATCTTTCTTTAGCAAAGTGTTCTACTCTGTTTGTGTTTGTGAGCATGCATTTTGTTTTTTGAGCCGTTACCTGCAGCTGATGAGCTCCAAAAAGAGCGAAACCAGTTAGGTCCTGCAGTACTGGCTAAAATCTTTCTTCAGGGAGCTCTTGGTGAGGAAGACTGGAGAATGTTCTCTGCTGGATAAACTTCAATTGCCTTTCTCAATGTCTGTAACACCAAAAGATCTTTGAGACTGTTTTCTTTAAGACACACATACTTGTTGCCTGTGTCTGCCTTCAGCCTTCCATTCCTTCTGCTCCTTTTGACAACGTGCAGTTTTAAAAAAAGAGAAGTCTGAAAGATGAGATTAATGCACAAGTAAAACAAATAATTATGTTTGTGTTCTATGTATTTCAATATTGCCATGTTTGTTCACTTAATGTTTTATTCACATTTTAAATGGAGTGTCAGATTCTCTGTATGTACACAGTGTTGCCTTTTTACCCTCATTTTCCCAGATCTTTATGACTTGGTTCTTTAGTTCTTCCTTTAAAGAGAATGTCCTTTTCTTCCACCTTTTTTTTCTTCTGACGTTTGGTTTGGTTTTCCTTCCTATGTGTTTTATCTTTTGCTTTGTTTTCTGTCTTTCTCCTCTGCTAGTTCACTAGCAGATTCTGAAGGATAGTAGATACAAAAACTGCTGTTTTCTTAAATATGAGTGCTACTTCACTAGAGATGGACATTAACCATGTGTTCTGTAATGAAGCTGTCATTAGTAAGTCAAATCAGATTGACTGTCTAATGCTGTTATCAGCTTTACTTACAAGCAAGTGACTATACACTACTTTTATTTTAATTTTTAACAGCTTCTATCATATCTGAATAGCTACACTCCCCACATGTATTCCTCTACTTTTTAGGCAACTGAACAATAATCACCGATTTAAGTTTCTAGGAGATGAGAGAAAAGTTTTCAGTAGGGTTACTGAGAAAAACCAGGTCATGAGAAGATGGTTAGTGTCAGAGCTGGTAGTGAAGGTACACACAAGTACAACTGGAAATAGGGAGAGAAGACTTGAAAACAAGGTGGAAAAGAGAGGCCACTTCCTTAGCAGAAATATGAACATTATTGCAGTGATTCAGTTGCTGTGCAACTGTAGTTTCAAACTAAAGGAACGAAAATTTATCTGGTTAGGCATCCCAACATTATGGAATTGGTGTATAAACGTGCTGTAAGAAGGTAATTTTTGTCTCAGCTTGAGCCCTTCTCTAGAAGAGGAACAGAGGTAGACACCATAACCCTCTCAACATTCTTCTGTTTTGTGTGTAGTTGCACACTACTGTACTCTGAGCTAAGAGGGCCAGTGACACTATAATCCCTGAAATGAGTTCAATAACCTTTTTTCACATTCCAACTTTTAAATAACATGCCAATTTTTTGCTGAGTTTATAACAGCATTGCAGCATCAAGATTTGAAGAATTCTTAGTGCTAACAGTATGATCAAGTACTTAGGTCTAACCATGACAGACAGACTTCAGCCTTTTCAGGAGCCTCTTCAGACCCAGTGCATAAAGTTACTGTGTTGCTTTCTACCTGTCTGGTTTGTATGCCATTTCCAGTGCTTGATACAGGCTGGGTGTGGAGGAGGCTAACTTCAGCGGCTTCTGAGAACTGTTAGTTTTGGGTCAGAGTGACATTGTGTCGTCTGGCATTTCATATCTGACAATTGTTTCTTTTTTCCCCTCATGGAAGGTCCTAAAAAAAAAACAGTGGCCCCATTGAAAAATGTCCTTCTGTTAACCATTGTCTAGCATCCACAGAGGAGGATATATGGTGCTTTAAGAATGACATGAGCCTTTAGGCAGCAGTATAAATCTGTTCTTCACAGATGTAGAATGGTGACTGTGTACATGTTCTGTTTCCATGGGTTTTCTTGTTCCTTATCCACGTTGCACAGATGAATGGCCAGATTTGCTTTTGTGGGTACTAAAGAGGGAAAATCTGAAATGAATCAGGTGAAAACATGCTGCTGGGATGAGGAATGTTGCTGAATTCAGTCTCAGAGAAACGATGCAGTAGCTGTGCTCTTGGGAGAAAAGATCTAAAATTTGGTAGAGGATATTGGAAGAATGAAGATAAAATAACTGAATTGTTACTTTGTGAGGTTTTGTTTTATGTAAGACAGAATTTTGAATTTTTGTGTGAGGTGTTCTCAGTAGACCTGTGCTTTTACTTATGATCCCTAAAATTAAAAGTAGCTGATGTTCTTGGAAAACTAACTTATATTTTCACATTAGAGTTTGTTTATTCTCTTAGGGGCATTATTTCAGTGCCACATCTGCCATGGCTTACCCATGGTTAAAATTAATTTATGACTGTAAATAGAAGGCAGAGATGCAGCTCACTGCAGTCTTGACACTGTCCTCTTTGAAATCTTGTGTTTAACTGTTAACATATTTCACTATCCAAAAATATATTATCTAAAACAATATGTAATTGTGAGACTGTAGAAAACAAGAGTGCAGCACTATGATTTACATGGCATAAAGAGTAACTGGCAAGTTGAAATTTTTTATTTAAATCACAGCATAAAATAAAATCATTAATGGTGTGATGCAAACTGAAACATCAAGGCTTGAGACTTTTCAAATATAAGTTAAAACATGAGTCTTCCATCTTTTGGTAGAGTAAATTATTCTTTTGGCTCTTCAGATTTTCATCAGAATTTTCTGTGTATGAAGGATAATTCATTTGTATGCAAATTCATGCATAGAGAGCCAATCTGTGTTCTGAAGTTCTTAGTCTTAAAAGAACAACAGAAAATTATGAAGACATCTATAAAAATGAAGAACAACATTATTTTAAAAATCATGGTTTTACTTGGGTACTTAAACTTTCATGAGGGAATAAAGGTTTAAAAAGGTAAAGTGAGATTGTCAGATTCTCTGGTTCTCTAGTGGAATACATGTGCTTAATGAGTAGAGTAGCACTTCAGTGAAATGAGGAGTTGGGACTCTATAACCTTTACTGATTCTGGTGTCAGGTTTTAAGATGACTCTGAAGGTGACTAGGTAAGGGACAGGGTGCAGAACAGGAGCTCTCTAGAAGAGAGGAGGCTGCCTGTTGGTGCCACTCCTGTGAGCAGAGAGAGGTTCTGCATTTTCGCTTCCCTGTGCAGCATAACTGAAGGCAAACAAGCTGCCTGAGAGGAAACCCAGGGCATTCAGATGCTGCAGCTCCTGGCTTTTTTATCAGTTGCCCACTGGGAGATTTGATCACTTTGTTACTTTGCTTTTCTCTGTAATCCTACCTAGATGGGGGAGTAGGAGTGGGGGGATGGAGGCAGAGGGGAATAATGATACTGCCACAACAGATTGACTCAATTGATCTCACTCTAATCAGTTTCTAAGACAAAAATAAAAGTAACAAGGTCAAGATGATTCCTAACACGTTTGAATTTTTTTTCACAATGTAACACTTCCATCTGTTTGCAGCAGTACAAATTTTCACAAAAACACCCCAAAGGTTATTTGGGATACCCACTTTTCTGGAGTGCAGTAAATGCTAGTAACTAACGTAGCTAACCTAGTGAAACTACAGGGCTTAAGTTGCATCTGTGTTTTGAGGTGGTAACACATCTGATACTTTGCTATACTGAAGCAACATTTTAATACTGTGTGATGTTTGTGGATCAGTATCACAGTGTTCCCCTTTCCTCCATTAGAGGCTGTGTTAAGCTTGTTTAATGATGGTGACAGGGAAAATAAAGATCAGAAACTTCATGAAGATGGGGGTTTTGTCACGATGTTAGTATATTTGATTAGTCTCTATAATCTGGTGTTCTGACAAGTGTGGAGGTCAGGTGTGAAAGAGGTTCAAATTTCTCTTCTTTTTCACAGTCCTATAAATTTGAAGTCTTTGATAATTGTCAACTACATTTTGGAATTTCAACCTCATTACTTCATCTTTTCAGAGTTCCAAAAACCTTATATTCGATATCTATTTTTTTAAGAAGAAATAACCTTTTTCAAGAAAGACATGGATGTGTTTGAGCAGGTCCAGAGGAGGACCACAAAAATGATCAGACTGCTGGGACACTTCTCCTGTGCAGAAAGGCTGAAAGAGTTGGGGTTGTTCAGCCTGGAGAAGACTCCAGGAAACCTCATTTGCAGCCTTTCAGTACTTAAAGAGGGCCTGTAAGAAAGGTGGGAACAGTAGTAGGGCCTGTTGAGACAGGGCAAGGGTTGGTAGTTTTAACCTAGAAGAGGGTAGTTTCAGACTACATACAAGGAAGACATTTTTTTTCCCGTTTCTCACTTTTTTTTTTTTTTTATAGTGAGGGTGATGAAACACTGGCCCAGATTGCCCAGAGAGGTGGTAGAAGCCCCATCCCTGGAAACATTCAAAGTCAGGCTGCAGGGGAATATGAGCAACCTGATCTAGTTGAAGATACCCCTGCACAGGGAGGGTTGGACTAGATGACCTTTAAAAGGTCCCTTCCAACCCAAACTACTCAGTGATTGCTCTGTGGATTAGAGTCCTTCAGAACAAAAGAGCAGGGTATATGTTTCCCTTCATCTGTCATTTAACATGCTGTATATCCCCCAACTGTACCTTCTGGCTGCAGTTTGAGGGAATCTCTAGCATGCTTTAGCTTTTAAGGTGTATTGTGGTTGAGTTTGAGATTTTCTGTTTGCAAGTGTGCATCTGTGCAGAGTTGTTTGTGTGTTTTGTTTGGTGGTGGTATTTTTTGCATAGAATCTTTGAAATTATTCTCATATTAAAAAAAATAAATGTTTGGGGACATCATATTATAGCATGCCATTTCTAAGGTAGTCCAGCAAAGTCTTTTACTACTTTCTCGAATATTTATCTTCTTTAATACGAGTACACACAAAACTGAGGTGACCTCAATCTTTTAATTTCCTACTTTCAGTGTCTGTATAGTGTTTTGGATTTAATCTAATCTACTGGAACAAATAATAATAAAGTTAGGGTTATTAGCTTACTATAAGAAATGACTGGACACTTAAATACTTATTTGAAGTTTTCTGTCTTGTAATGCTCTTTTTGTTTTGATTTCAGAATGCTCTCTTTAGTTGTATTAACAGAAATGAAAGTAAGTATATAATAAAGAGTTTCTCTTTTTTGGTTTTCCATCATTTTTTTTCTCTAAAATGTAAGAATTCCTGTGGGTTTACATATATACAGTTCACATGGATTCAGATCCATAGGAGGACAAACCACATGCATAAATGTTCTTGCTGAAGTGATAAGGGGGTTAGGGTGTTCATATGATTTATATATTTTTTTTTAATTTATGTATCTGTAGTTGTTTTTCCATCCGATTTGGATGATGGCTTAGAAGCTCTTTTTTTTCCCTTTTCCATTGTATCTGATGAGTGTTAAGTAACAAAATTAAATGTATAGATGAAATCTTGCACCATGCAAATGTTTTCTTGCCCGATGTCTGTCTATATAAAATTAATTCAGTGTCTCAGAATTAATTCTAGTAAAAGTATTTCTCATTATCTGTATATTTAATAACATATCAAAAAGGGATGAATCATAACACCATCTATTTTTTTGAATTAGTTTTAGGATACTACTCATATTTATTTGTTTACTATTAATATTTGTCTAATAATTCAATTGGTCTGATTACCTTAAATAAGAACAGAAGAGCTGAAGATAAAATTTATCTAATTTGTTGGACTCTTGAACTTGAGTTCAGGATGGCCTTAGGGACTTTTTTCTTCAGCCAAACAAAAACATGTAATTTGGCTAGTTACAGATATTCCCAGTCATTCTCTAGGCAGTGATCATTTTAATAGAGCACAGAAGAATTTCTGCTGCTTTTTAGTCACAGTAATGCCATGAGCTGGCATGCTTGTTTCTTCACTGCTCTGTGCAGAGCCCCTGGATGATGTGGTGTTGTTTGTTGCCCCAGTGGGGTCAGTCTGTTGCAGCTACGCAGGACATCACACCAACTGTCGGGAATATTGCCAAGCCATTTTCCGGACGGACTCTTCTCCTGGGCCTTCACAAATTAAAGCAGTTGAGAATTACTGTGCATCTATTAGCCCTCAGCTCATTCACTGCGTCAACAACTATACACAGTCTTATCCAATGAGAAATCCTACAGATAGTAAGTGTAAAAACAAATCCTTATTTACTCAAAGTTATTAAAAATACTGGAAATGTTTAAGGAGTATGTGCACTTTTTATATAAAATGTGTTATTGTATAAGTATTGTATAAATCGTGTTAATGTATTTCTGTATTGTAGTTGTAATTTACATGAATTTACACAATTATAAGTTTTGTTTGTAGGTGCATTATTGATTTTTATTTATTTTTTTAGTTCTGTGTATTGGTGTGGTTTTTTTTTCCAGAACTGATTCTATTTGCATTTAAAAGAAGCAATGGTGTTTGAGATTATTTTGGGAGTCTCCTTCTAGCACTTAGTCCCTGAGGGCTGTTGTCATGGAACTTGGCTGTTGTTGTTAGGCAAGATCATTGAAAATTTTTAATTCTTTAACAGGTTTGTACTGCTGTGATAGAGCAGAAGACTATGCGTGTCAGACTGCTTGTAAAAGGATTCTAATGTCAATGAAAACAGAGCTTGAAATTGTTGATGGACTTATAGAAGGCTGTAAAACAATGCCTCTCCCTCAGGATCCACTTTGGCAATGTTTTCTTGAGAGTTCAAGATCTGTTCACCCAGGGGTCACTGTGCACCCTCCACCTTCAACAGGCCTCGATGGAGCTAAGCTCCATTGCTGTTCTAAGGCAAATTCTTCCACATGTAGGTCAGTATCTCTCTACTCTCATTTCCAGCTGTGAAAATGTTTCAGAATTGGTCTCGTATCAGGACTTTGACCAAATTGTTATGTACACCAAATGAAGAGTTCTGTGAGCTCTTAGGAAAAAACAGAGGTTTAGGTAATCAGATGGGTATCACATTTTGTTCGTTACTTACTTTTTATCTCAAAAAATACTGTTCTATAAGAGTAATCACACTTTTCTCAGATTTAACATTGGCTTATAGCAGACACACTAAGTTAATGAAACCTATACCTCTACTTGTGGTCATAGTAGCCAGTATTGCAACAAGAAGAGGAGACCTTAACCAGATGCTGAAGAGAGCCAAGGGGAAAATGAACTGCACAAATTTTCAAGTAGCTGGTTGCTGCATGTTAAAACCTTAGCAGTACTCCTTACTAGATGCTATTCAGGTTTTTGTCAATGGAAAATATCTTAGTTTATTTCATAATTAAATAATGTAGTTAAGTATTTTGACATTTTTTTTTAAAATATTTTTTCATTATATAGTTTTGCACATGCAAATAAGTGTAACTGGAGCATTTTTACTTTAGAGTGATAATCTGTCCACTTTAAAAAGTAGGTCATTGTTACATTTTAAATTACTTGGTATGTCAAAAGAAGTTGCAAACATTGATATTTGAGCTGTTGCTGCCTTTGATATCAAAGTTGACAGTAATAAAACAACAGAACATGAATGCAGCAGGATATTAGAATGAGTTTACTTCCAGAGCCCTGGAGATACATTATTTCTTAGAACCTTGTAGTGTAAGGCAGTTAATATATCTCGTAGTTACTTGCTTTGACAATGGGTCAAACTCATTGTCAAATGAGGGGTTAGAAGTTGTTTGTTATCCTGTCAACCTAGATTATGACAAATAAAATTATCCAAGATAGTTCTCACCTTGAAGTGATTAGTTCAGGTTTCCAGCTATTACATTTTTATTGGGTATTGTGGTTTTATGTTGTGAAGTCTTTCAGTCTTACTAGGATAAAGATTTGCTAGCATTCTTAAGCAAAACTGGAAAACTTAGAATGGGGTTATGTGCTTTGAGCACATTTGGGTACTCTTGCAGACTTTGTGGGTGCTAATACAATCTTCTACAAGGAGTGCAGGCTGTAGAGGTCAGAAAGGAAACAATAGGCTCAGCTCTAGCTGAATGACTGCTGTTCTTTTAACTTTCTTTTCTTTGGGTTGGGGTTTGTTTTGGTTTATTTTTTCCAGAGAGCTCTGCACTAAACTTTATAGCACGAGCTGGGGCAATTCACAGAGCTGGCAAGAATTTGATCGCTTTTGTGAGTATAATGCAGTTGAAGTTTCCATGTTGACCTGTTTAGCAGATGTACGAGAACCTTGTCAGCTGGGCTGTAGAAATCTTACTTACTGCACTAATTTTAATAACAGGTAGGAGAGAGACACTGAATATTTAATAAAAGAATTCTTGTGCTTTGATTTCAAAAATAAAATAAAATGTTTTTTCAGGCTTATTTTGAGATTGTGTGTAGCTGTCTTTCTGCAAATATTTTTTTAGAAAATTTAAAAATAAACAGTTTTTCCAAAAATTTATTCTAAAGAAAATGTATTTAACAACAGAAATAACAAAACTTACAAGAATACAAGCTAACCCATGAACTTGTAAAATATCATCATGTATTAACATATTCCTCTGTCTTTATATATATATATAGAGAGAGAGACAAATATATAGACTATATATAGACAAATAAGCCATGATTACTGGTATTTTGTGTGTTATAAATAAGGTTTAAATGCTTGTTAAATTTACATGTTAGTCTTCTTCAAAATTGATTCTGCTTTCAGAAATACCACAGATAGTTCTGTGGTTTTATACTCTATAGGGTAAAGTGCATGATTTAAAAGTGGTGTCTGAAATAGTAATTACCAGATTGCAAATTAAATAGTTCAAGGTTTAAAAAAAAAATTAAAATTTTGTTACCTATCAGCGATCTCTGGCTTTTCATTGAAATAGCATAGAGTGGCATGAGTATTGTATGGGTAGTAGAATCACCTATGTGACAGATACAGCCTGGGCAAATATAAATGATAAATCAACTTGTGTTAGTGATACACCATGAAAGATTTGCACAGATACTTAGGATATGTAAGACATTTTCTTTTTTTAAGGTAAGAAAAAAATTAAGTGATTTTTGACCTGAGAGATAGAGATGAGAAGGGAGTTTCAGCCTTGAGTCTTCAAGAGCTTATTTTCTTTAAAGACAGAATTCAAATTGATTTTGATCCTGCTTAACTGCAGAAGGGATTATTTTCTTTCATACCACAAAAAAGAAGCCATATCAAGGTTGTAGAATTCATATGGTGAGAGGTAAAATGTATGGTGTTTTATTTTTCTTGCATGTTTGTCATATCTTAACTTCTTCTTTTAAGACCAACAGAACTTTTTAGGAGCTGCAATACTCAGTCAGACCAGGGAGCCATGAATGACATGAAGCTGTGGGAAAAAGGGAGTATTAAGATGCCATTTATAAATATTCCTGTGCTTGATATTAAAAAATGCCAACCAGAAATGTGGAAGGCGATTGCCTGCTCACTGCAGATTAAACCTTGCCACAGCAAATCTAGAGGAAGCATTATCTGCAAGTAAGTACTTGAGGGGGGGAGGCAGTGAACAGTTTAGAGGTTCTGCTAAGGATTTTAATGAGAACTAGAAAACTGCTGTAGGGCCTGTATTTGACTTCTATTAGGAAAATACAGGAAGGCAAACAATGAGGGAATATGAGCTTGCATGGTTGCCAATGAATCTCCATCACTGTAAATGAAGATCCTTGCATGTTAATGAATGGATATATATGCTTCAATTGTAAAGTTGGTTTGTTGTTGGGTTTTGGTTTTTTAGCTCTCTGCTGGCTATAAAACATTTCCTCTTTTTTGATTTTGTAACCTACTGGTGATTGTCAGCTGGCTGACAGTCTTGTGAGGCAGAAGAAAATTGGAGATTTCGAGAAGGGAAGAATGTGGAAAAAAAATCTTTTTCATACAAGATCTTTTTTGTTCAAGTAGTGTTCATGAAATTCTGTTTCTTTAATCTGAAGATCAGATTGTGTGGAAATACTGAAGAAATGTGGAGATCATAGTAAGTTCCCTGAAGGCCACTCAGCTGAAAGTATTTGTGAGCTCTTGTCTCCAACTGATGACTTGGAGAACTGTATCCCACTGGATACATACCTGAGTAAGTATCAACTTACACACAGCTTCTCCGTGTACAAAATTGCACTTCTGCCTGAGGCATATACTCTGTTCTTTGACTGTTCAGTTAGAATAACCAAAACCCAAATTAACTCGTGGGACAATAGACCATGAGTTTGGTACATATATGGAAGAATTAAGGTTTTGTGATTCTGTTTTCTTCTAGCTTGGCTTATCCCTCTGTGTGGAACACAATTGTGTTAGTAAAATTTTGATTTTAGGTTTCATTTAAAATGCATCTTTATTTTCCATTATTTCCATTTATACATTATTTTCCAAATCTGCTCTACTCTGTTACCACTTCCTGTTGTGCATTTATCTCTGTAGTGTCTAGACCTTTTTTAGCTTTATAGGATATATCTGGTTTAGACCTTATTACAAATTATATTTTGATATTTCTTTTTCAGAATCTCAGGAATTTTGAAAATAGTAAAATTTTGGTTATTAAGAGCTGCAACTGAAAGCATACCTCAGCAAATAAATTGTTCCCAGACAATGTATTGAAACTTTTTGGGTGGTTCTTTCCATTTAGCTACTGCTTTTCTATGTTATCTTCCTATTTCTTAATGTTGTAACAGGAGAACATTACTAGTAAGTTAAAGGGGGAAACAGAAGTTTTATTAATGCTGGCAAACTCTTGGTTAAACATCAAGGGTACTTTAAACCTTCAGTGTATTAATCATTGGCTATGGGACTTCTATTGATTAAACTGATGGTTGTTGTCAGTTTGTATTTTTGTCATATAGAGAAAAATTATTGGGGAAACAAGATAGAAATAGTTCTTGCTTTTGAAGAATCCATCAAGGTCATTATTTCCAGGACTAAGGACTGAACTTTTGAAATAAGTTAACTATTTTGTCATCTCAAGTTTCTACAAGTATAGTTAAATAAATAAAAAGTACTTCACAGAACTGTCAAAAATATGATTTTACTGAATGTAAGAAATGCCATGCTTTACTGAAGGGGAAAAAAACCTCATTTAAATCTATACAGATGCTGTATATTCTGTTTTCAGGCCCAAGTTCCTTAGGTAACATTGTAGAAGATGTTACACATCCCTGTAATCCCAATCCATGTGCAGCTAACCAGTTATGTGAAGTAAATAGAAAAGGATGTCAGTCTGGAGAACTGTGTCTTCCCTATTTGTGTGTGCCAGGTAAGGGTGTTTGGGCTTCTGTTTAGTTGAATTTTGCAGGTAAACATATGTTACTGAAATTTTGTTGAAAGTGTTAAAGTGAATTGCAGGTATCCAAAAAAAAAATCCTTTTTTTATTCTCCACTCAAACATAATATCCTATTAGAAGATGTATTACTTTCTTTCAGAAATAAATGTCCATACATGATCTCCCAGCAGCCTGCCTGTTTTCTAAAGTTACAAGCAAATACAGAGCAGCTCAGTGCTCCTGCAGACACAGGCACTGACAGTTCTTATTAAAGATGATGTCTGGAGGTGCAGCAGTACAGAGCTGACAGCATTTCTGCTGCTGCTCCACGGAGTGACGCTTCTAATGGAGGTTGCACCTCACTAGACAGGCATTCGAGGTCATTTGGAAACTACTTTCTTAGAGAGTAGGTGTTGTCTAACTTCTGCATCATGCATCAATGTGAGCTGACTGGGGAGAGAGCCTCGTGCAGAATGAATTTCAGCTAACTTTGAATTGGCAGGCTTGGATGGGGCTGTAACAAGGATCAAATCTACAGGTGGGAGGCTATAGAGTGTCTAACTTCTGCAGCCCCTTTATTCTACCTTACACAACAGTAATGCTTCCCACATTTTTTCCCCTTCCTTTAAAGCAAAAGGTGTCATTCAGTAACATGAGGGATCACCAAAGGCTCTTGAAGCAAAGAGGAAAGCTGCCATTTGGTGATGGCTTGAACCCATGTTGAGAGAGAAGGAGAGCAACACTGATTTTTAAACTGAATTGCATGAAGCAGTCTCCATTCTAGAAGAAGTGCTAAAGAACTTTGCCACAACTATCCCTTGAGGCTCTTGTTCCAGCAGTTCTGCTCATCAGCAGTTTCTCCAGTGATTTTTGTTTACAGAGGGGAAAACTGCATTTTGCTTCACTCGTACATCTGCAGCACTTGTGCTCTTCTAGAAGTGAGGATAGACTTCAGCTCATTCTTTTTCTGAGCCTAGGGGCATAGTTTTGGTTATGATTCTGTGACTCTTAGGAAGTATTTTTGATGGGCTGTTTTTTTTTTTTTAACAGCTGAGCATTATTACTCTAGAGGCTATTTTTTCTTCACTTGCTCCAAAAGTCATTCAAAGGTATCTGAAAACAAGCTCACCCAGAGCTTTTGAAGAGAGTTTACTTCCTCCAAAGGTTGGAAGGTGACTTTTATGGGAGTTTTTTTTTATTTTTGATTGGTTCAGTTTCAGAGCATTAGATGCAGTTCATGATTTCTTGGGTATTTTTAATTTACTATGTATTAATTTTTCATTGAAATTTTTAAAACAATTTTTCTTTTTTTCCATTTTTTTTTTTGAAGCCAGTTTTCCTGCTTTTTCTCCATTTCTCCCATATGAGTCCTTCAGTGTTCATATAAGAGGTACAAGTAGGGAAGGAAGATACAATTAAACACCTAAGAGAGGGGAAATGACTGGGCTTTGCTTGTGAGACTGTAATTCAGATTTTTTTACTGGAGAGTGAAGTGTATGTGGTATTTCTCATATCACATTTCATACTACTACAGAACAATGGAAAATGAAACTGCCTGAGATTTGCTGGAATTACTAGTCTTTTTCTCTAAAGTGACAGTTCTACATGTACTTCAGATTATCTCAAGCAAGTATCTTCTATTTCTGTTACTTGTTGCCTCTGTGAAATGAGTGAATTCATCTAAAGGGGGAGTGCAAGGCTGCTTTAAGAACACCTTAGCTTTTTCACAAGTCAGAGAGTAGTAGTTATTTTTGGTAGTGGCTCTTGCCAAAGTATTTACTAAATATGAGCTAAACTTTCTCCTTGTTTATAGGTTGCAAACTGGGAGAAGCCTCAGATTTTATTGTCCGTCAGGGTACACTTATTCAGGTTCCATCCTCAGCGGGTGACGTTGGGTGTTACAAGATTTGCACCTGTGGACACAGTGGATTGCTAGAAAACTGCATGGAAATGCATTGTGTTGACCTGCAAAAATCATGTATTGTTGGAGGACAAAGAAAAAGTGAGTATCAGAACAATAATTATCTCTTTATGTAGCACCTGCTCCTTAAGTAATGAATTTTGAGGAACATACAAAGACCCAGAGGATCTGAATGCAGAGTTGACCAGAAGAGACAAAAGTTAATGTTTGCATCCCTATATATAACACTTGTCCAATTCTTATATATGCCTGAGGGTTTCATTATTTAAATCAATGCAGCATCTGTTCTGTGCTTCACACCACAGACCCCTTGAGCAGTAGGTGGTTTCTTTACAAAGTCCAAATGCTTTGGGGATTTTGGAGTTGGTTTTATTTATTTTTTTGGTGGTTGGGGATTTTTAGTTCCACAAACTTAGAATATGTGTTTAAAAAAAGTCAGAAACTGTTATCATGAGCTATAACCTCTGGCAAGAAGTTCCCCATGTTAAGATATGTGTGCCTAAAAACCAAAAACCTTTTTTTTTTTTTTTTTTTTTTGGTAGGGTTTGCAAGTGATTTCATTTCATTTGAGGCTTTATAGTTTGTTTCATCTGTTGCCTCTTAGTTCATGATTCATTCCAGTTCTTGAAAAAGATGAAGAATTATTGTTACCTATTTGCCTCCTCTTTCAGAAGTGTGTCATCATTCCCTCAGCTTTCTGAGTTTTTTCTCTAAGCCAGTTCCTATTCTATTTAGTCATTCCTTATGTGAGAACAGTTGTCTATTTCTGATCGTATTTATTACCCTCCTGTATACCTTCTTCTAGTTCTTAGATTTTCTTTGGAAATGGGAACTGGAACTCAAGCACCATTCACAATGCAAGAGCCCAGTCAAGTCTATGTAATAGCAAAATGATGTTTCTTTCATAATTATTCTGAATATAATCTTTTCTTGGCTACTATTCTATAATTCTGTTGAGGTCATGCTTTCACAGAGCTGCCTATTGTAGCACTATGGCCTAGTTCTAAGTAGAAATGGTCAGCTCACAGCTCACTGTGTGAATTGTAGAGAATCACTTCATGTTCAGTACAACAAATTTTCTCTGCTATGTCTTTTCCTAGTTGCTCAGTGTGTGGTGAGATTTTTCTTGCAATTCTTCATTATTTGGTCCTTTGTACCATAATGTTCTTGCTAGACTTCGTCATGTCAATGGATGCGTTTGTTCATTGGATCACTGACCAATGTGTTGAACAGAACAGGCACTGCAGAGATCATGGGGGGCTCCTTCAGTCACCTCCCTTTGTTCCATTTATTCTTTTTCACAGTTATTTATCTATGTGAGCACCTTTTGTTCCTAGCTCTACTTTTTTTCTTGAAAGCCTGTGTTAAAGAACTATTAAATGTATGTTGGGTTTTGAAGTGTATCAGCCTGATTTTCTGTTGTCTGTGTGCTGTTGACTCCTTCAGATAATCCTAAAAGATTCGTTTTGTGGCTTGCACAGAAACTGTAATTCCTTCCCAAAGTGTATCATATTTAGGTATGTGCAATTGATGCAAGCTTTTTATACTGTTACCACATTTGCATTGTGCAAAATTGTTTACCTATCTCTGCTATCCACAGAGCTCTTTAAAAAAAAAAATAAATTAAGAAACATGTATTTCAGCCACTTGCATTGGTATCCAAATCCTGAGGAAGTTTAAAGCAAGACATTAAAAATAAGTTTGCTCATATTAGCAGTAGTTTTACACTGTAGTTCATTTGGAATTTTTGGTCTTGCAGAGTTGTTAGCATTGGTCTGTCCAAGAGCTGCTTCTGAGGCAGGTTCCATAACACATTGCCTGTGAAGAAAGTGGTGAGCTTAGACTTTTAACTTCCTGTGCAGAGAACAGGGATGCAAGAAAATCTTTTGCTTTTGCTTTTTTTGGTGGTTGTGTTATTTTCTGAGTGGTTATTTTGTATAGGGGCAGGATGTTCACTGTATGCTTCTCCCTCCTACCACAAACCTGTAGTGTAAAAATCATATAAAACCGGTTTTATCAAAATTGTTGTCGATGTCTGAATTAGCAGTAATCCCTGGATTTATTTCCAGCAGACACATATCCAGAGGTGCAGACACACATACACAGACACTGCTAACATGGCCAGCCACACTGGTCAGCTGGTGCTGCTGCTGACACCCCCACAAACACAGAGCATCAACACAGAGCTGAACAGTGCCTGTGGCCCAAACCTGTTCTGCCACTGCTCAGAACTGAAGCCCACCAGTGAAACAGATACATACAGACTAGACCTCTGTCCATCAGCAGGCATCAGGGGCACAGTTTTTTCAGTAGTTGCCCCCCAGATGCCAGTTTGCCAGAGCTGGTGGTACTTTGACCTGCAAGGTTTGTGTTGCCACTCCAGTGGCTGGTATGCAGACCACTTATCCTACTTATTGATCCATCCAGCTTGATCTTTGTTAGCATTCACACACATAGCCAGAGTAGGGAGTGCACACAAAGAGGGTAAAAATAGGATTGAATAACAGTACGGGTAGATCGTGGTGGTCAAGTGCAGGGATTTCTTTGAAACCCTCATAGCCTGCAATAAAGTATCAAAATGCAGCCTGTGCCTTTCAGGAAAAAAATAATTTATTTTAAAAATTAGAATAGTATTAAATAGTTATAGTTTAACATATATAATCAGTAAGGCTAACATATGCTTTTAAATTACATCTAAGCAGATACATTATGATAACAAAGGTATATTGATCATTCATTCTTTGAATGATCTTCCCCAGCATGATGAGTTTAGACCTGCTGATTTCCTTCCACCAGGTAACTGTAATATGCATAGGCTTTTATTTTAACAATAAAATAATGCTAACTAGCATTTTCTTGACTTAGTTTTAAATTATTAATTTTCTAAGATTACTGCTCAGAAATTAAATTGTCATGGGTAACAAGCATTAATTGGTCCTACCTTAACAGTCAAAGTTGTTGAAAGAGACATGACAAGTGGTGCTTCTTAAAAGTTGATACTGGTTTATTTTCAAATTTACTCATTGATTGGGAGCTTTAAAGGTGTGGGGTTTTGTAATGCAAACCATCACTGTGCTTTTTGTAAAAGAAAACAAAACAAAAATCTACTACTAGGGAAAATCTTATAAAATGTCTTGAATGTAAAATGGAGTCTATGCTGAGCTGTACCCTGATGGTGTCTTTGAATCAGTCAGCAAGTGAGAGTGATTATTCTGCTAGTGAATAGTTAACATATTTCAGCACTGGACTTTGTCTGTAAATCAGCCCTTTTAAAATACTGTCGGACTGAAGATTAAGCATAACTAAAGCAAGTCAAAGATACCTAATAAGTCCAAAATAAGTGACTTTTTTTACCGTGTTATAAGAGAGTTATTTTTCACATTAAGTAAATCTTAAGAAGCAAGGCACTTGAAGTTATGTTTGTCACACAACCTAATTTTCTGATTGTTACCCAAACCCTGAAACCACAAAAGAGTTGGTAATTAGGATATTTCTTTCTCTTAAATGATACCAAATAGAGCTAAGTAATCAATTGTGCAATTATTCATCTCTCAGGAAATTTTTCCTTTCACATTAATGCTTTTACAGCTTGTAATATTGGGGTTTTTTGTTCATCCAAAGAGGATAGAAGTCAACCAAGCATACTTAGTACTTATTTTTTTATTGCCAAATGATACTATTTGTTTGTGGAAGCTGAACACTGAGAACATCTTACACTTAATGATCTATTTAATGGGCAATTATGGAAAATATCTGGTGAAAGTAGATTACAGAATCATGTAATTATAGAATGGCTTAGGTTGGAAGGGACTCTGGAGATCATCTAGCACAATCTCCCTGCCATGGGCAGGGACACCTCTCAACTGGACTGGGTTGCTCAAGGCCTCATCCAGCCTGGCCTCAACCACCTCCAGGGAGGGGCATCCACAGCCTCTCTGGGCAATCTACTCCACAGTCTTGCCACCCTTGTACTGAAGAACTTATTCCTAAAATCTAGCCTAAACCTATTCTTCTTCATTTTAAAACCATTTCCCCTTGTCCTGTCACTGCACACTCTTGTGAAAAGTCCCTCTCCAGCCTTCCTGGAGGTTCCCTTCAGGTTTTGGAAGGCAGTTATAAAGTCCCCCTGGAGTCATCTCTTCTCCAGGCGGAACAATCCCAGTGCCCTCAGCCTTTCCTCATAGCAGAGATGCTCCAGCCCCTGGATCATCTTTGTGACCCTCCTATGGACTCGTTCCAACAGATCTGTGTCCCTTTTATGGTGGGGACACCAGAACTGGACTCAGTATTCGAGGTAGGGTCTCACAAGAGCAAAGGGAGAATCACCTCCCTTGAACTGCTGGCCACACTCTTGATGCATCCCTTTAAATACAGTCATTAGCAAATATTTTATTTAAATGGTGACTGAAACCTTTTATGGATCACTCTGTCCAAAGAAATTAGCACTTCTTGCCTTAGGACAAAAAGTGCACACAAAGGAAAGAAATGAGCACCACAGAGGAGTTTTGTGTTATGTATGAGACTGTGGATGAAAGTTCAGCTGTCCTATGTGAAATTAATTTGCAAAAAGAATGTACTTTTTCAAAAGCTTTACCTTTAAAAAAAATAGGGAGCTTACTAGCCTGACTTTGTCTACCACTTCTGTTTTCTGAGTGTATTTCTTTTTGCAGCTTTAAATTGTTCTTAAAAATAAAACTTACACAAGCTTTGAAAGGATTCCTTGTTTAATTAATCAAAACCACATGTGAACAGACTCTTTTTATTAAATGAACAAAGCAAAACTTGAAATCTAAAAAAAGATAGAAATTTCAGTGGGAAAATAAACTGAATAAGGGAAATTACAAGAACAATTAATAATGAAAATATAGCTATGTAATATGTATGAGTACATAATCTTACGGCGTAGTTGCATTAATTGTATGTATTTACTTAATTTCTTTTAAGGTCATGGAACGTCCTTTAATATAGATTGTAATGTCTGTTCATGTTTTGCTGGAAACTTGATATGTTCTACCCGTCAGTGTCTCACTGAGCATAGCTCAGAAGATGAACGTCGGAAGTTTACAGGTAACTCTCCAAACTCTGTAAACTCTGAGTCTAAACTCTGAGTTTAATATTCTTAGAGCAAAGAATAGCTTCTGAATTCTTTCTACAGTATGGAAAATACCTGATAATTTGTCATTAATATGTTCTTTTAACTATTTATTTTTCTCATGTCCAACCTGCGCTTCAGAAAAAACACATAACTTTGGGGGAATAAAAAGTACTAAAAAATAAAACTTGGGGTAGAGTCAGAGTAATAGCTCTGAGGACAAGAGATAAGGAGTTTGGGGAAAAAATGGAGAAAACTGGGTAGACTTAGCAAGGAGGCAGGGCACAAATTTCCCTTTCTACTACTCACTGAAGGTATGGGACATCTTTGCGACTCCTTGTGTATCTTCTGTCATAGAAATGAAATGTGCACCAAATTCCCATTTTGTGTGTTGTTTCTGCAGGTTTGCCATGTAACTGTGTAGATCAGTTTGTACCAGTATGTGGTCGAAATGGACGTACATATCCAAGTGCATGTATAGCTCGTTGTGTTGGGCTCCAGGACAATCATTTTGAATTTGGATCGTGTATTTCCAAGGATCCCTGTAACCCTAACCCTTGTAATAAGAATCAGAGGTAAAAGCAGAGTATGTTTTTAAGCTTTTCTTTGGCATCTTCTAGTCATAAAGCAGGTGTACTTTGAATGTGTTGTATTTTGTAATAACATTCTACTTTTGGGGTACTCCAATAAAAGTAACTGTTTGAAGGAGCTACTTTTTATTTATCATTCTTAATAATGGACTGTAATAACTGTCAATTTTTTATTCCATTTATGTAGTGGTATATAATTTAAATTCATTATGGAGATCTCAGTTTTAGCAGTAGAAGACAATTGATGTATACTTCCAAAAGTGGGACAATCAAATTTTGTTGAAATGAAATGGCTATAAGTGTCATTTTATACTTCGTTTCACAACTTCTTCTAGAAGTTTAAAAAACAAAACAAGACAAAACCAAAAAAAAAAAAAAAAAAAAAAAAAAAAAAAAAAAAAAAAAAAAAAAAAAAAACCCAATACAAAACCAACGCCACCCATGCCTGAATTCAAGCCTTGGAGTCAGTCTTGCTTATTCAGTTAATAATGTGTGCTTTTCATTTCTAGAACAGGGAAATAACCAGTTTGGAACACTTGTGTTTCTCTTAATTAGATTGGTATCTTATGAAAACGATGTACAATCTCTGTTTTTTCAGTGTCAGAAAAAGCAAAATCTGACTATACAAACACATTGAAATAAAAATATCATCTGTACTAGTGTCAGGAGAAAAGAAAAGCTGGTCTTTCTTACAGAAATCAAAGCCTGTGGCTCATAATATTGGTCTCTGTCTTCAGTTTTCTCAGTGCTGTTCAATATGCAATCTCCTTTGAACTTGTACATTTTTCTGTTTTCAGAGAAAGCCTCCATAAGAAGCTGTGTAATACTGTGCTTTCATGAAAACTGATTATAGCACTTTTCCCCCCTCTTTTTCTTCATTTTAAATGCCTTGATGCAGAAAACTGCAAAGAAAACACTGTAGGATTTAGCTGTGATAGCCACTATGGCATTGAAAATTGTCATTTCAAAGTTGCATTGTGGATATACGCCTCTTATATTTTTAATTTGGAAGGCATAGAGAGATCTTCCAGTTTTACAGAATAACCATTATGAATAGAACCTTAAATTGTAGTTTCAGTAGAGGGTTGTACACAAGACATTTTTGGGGGTCAGTTTGATGATGTAGTGTAGACCAAACTTGCTCATTTTAATGTCTTGGAATCACTTAGAATCTATTTAAGATGTTACATTCCACTTGTAAAGTGCTTAAATCTCAGAATTTCTGAGTCTTCCCTCAGAGAAAAGTGTATTCCTAACAGTGTGCTAAGTGTCTTCCCTAACACAGTGTGTGTAATGCATAGAACAGCACTCATGGAGAACAACAGCCTATTGCTCATGATTGAGGGGTAGCACCGTTGTAATTTATTAGAGGAGGAGACTGTTAAAAAAGCTATTTGACCTTTCATCAGTCTATTCATCAAACTCTGTTAGCTGGCATTTCTCTAGCAGAGGGAAGTCTTGCCAGGGCATTAGGGCAAATTATTTTGCAGATAAGACAATGGAAGATATATATTTACTATAGAGAGGGAAGAATTTCAGTTTATTGCTCTTCAGTTGTCTGTGAAGGCTTGTGAGGGATGAGATGCCAAAAAAGGAGATTGTGTTAATACTAGATTTTTCCATTGGCTTGCAGTCATCCCCAAGATTGGTTGTGATATAATATACAGAAACTACAAAGCCAGAGTCCAATTACATATCTGTAACTAAACCCATGTAGTCTTATAAGTCATGTTTTCACTGCCTTCTCAAGGAGGGGTGAGGTTAGACCTCTGCGATGGAATCTTTCCCCTACAGTTCACTGTTTCCGTGTTTTCTCTAGTTCTCCTCAAATACACATTTACAAAATGAAGCTTGGGAATAGGTAAGACGTTTATTCAAGCATTTTTCAAAAATCTGTTGAAAAATACTTGGAAACTGTAGTTGTGTTCAACTAGTTTGACTGAACATGGTGTGAACCAGTTCCAGGTTTGTGATGAGACCTGAAATTGGCTATTCAGAGTGTTTCATCACTTTTATTTCCTGCAGCTCTGATGAACCATAGTTAGCTCTAGAGCAATGGAGAAGATTTCACTGAAAATATTTTCCCTGAATATTTTAAGATTTACAAAAGTCCTGTGACATGATATGAAATTGTTATTGCTTTATGCAGGTGCATACCAAAGAAACAAGTTTGCTTGACTACTTTTGGGAAGTTCGAATGCAGCCAGCATGAGTGTGTGCCCAGGCAGCTAAACTGTGACCAGACACGGGATCCTGTTTGTGACACAGACAACGTGGAATACACTAACTTGTGTACTTTGTACCAAAAAGGAAAAAGTTTAGCGTACCGAGGGCCATGCCAGGTAGGAACTGGTTCTAGCAGTAACTATCAAATCATCTTTGTTGTTTCATGTTAACCTTCGCAATATTCTGGGGTTTTTTTGCAGTATTCTGGTTTTATAGCTTACAAAATGTTTTTCTTGAAAGTCCTTTAAAACTGTAAGCTTTACTGGTATAAAAAATAGTCTCACAAATTTACACTCAGAATTTTGTCAGGTGTTCCTCTGCATTAGTTAATATTTGTCTTGAAACCAATCAAAAGCTTCACTTATACGTTCTTGGGGATCATACTCATCTATATTAAGGATTCCACTATTCTTCACTATTAAAGCTTGCACTGAGATGTGTTTGCGGTAATTAGGGTCGTTCCTTAGTTAGTTAAATGCTAGTTTTTGCAAATTTGAACTTGTTTGAAATAAAAATTAATGCCTGGTCGTAGAAAGTCTTCAGCATTTTGTGTGATTGTGCCCTAGGTTTACCAAATTCATTGCTCAGGATCTATTTGCACTGAAGTTTTGTTGGATACTAGGCATTCTTGTAATTACAGTATTGGTAATATTTTCTTTAGTTCATCTGGATTGGATTACTCTTCATATTAATCCCTGAGAAGGATTAGGATTAGGTTTTGTTCTTCCAATTCCATTGCTCCCTACAGTGTTATAGGCAAGCTATTTCTGTCATTTCACAAGAGATGTCAGGAGCTACTCTTTGGAGTTGCTGGCTTTACTGTTGATAGGCTGTCATCTCCAGGTTTTTCTCAGATGATGAAGATTAATCTGAGACCTTCTCTTGGTCTCAACACATGGATATTATAAGGAATACGGAACATTTATTCAGGGTTTTTCTGTATTATAAATGCTATTGCTCTTTTAACCCACTTTTAGTTTCTGCTTTTCTGTCTTTATACCTTCTTTTTCTTGCCCTTTTTCAGCAACCTCGTTAAGTACAGATAATTCTTCTCATTGCACATCAGATATCTCATGAGATACTCAGAGAATGTTCAGCCCTTGAACAGTAAGAATCAAAGGAATATTGCATGGCTGGTTTTTTTTTTTCTTCAGCAATTAAATGTCTAGTTGTATCCATGTTCATTGAGTTTTTGACACAGGTAGCTCTATGTTTTCAATGTATAGGGAAGATGACTGCAAGACAGAAAACTGTTTGGGATACTCACATTTACTTGTCCTGTATCTGTTTTGTTGTTAGCTTAGATGTGTAACATAGAAACTGTAATTGTTTTGCTAATCTAGAGGATATACAGTGATAGCTATGGCAACTTAACTTGAATATGAGTTAGTTTAATAAAATATTTAGACCTTAGCAAGAAATTATGGAATGAATTGTGGCAGTTCACAAGGCTTTGGACAAAAGTATTAGTCATAACTCATCTGCAAAGATCCAGCAATTCTATTTGCTTCTGTCCATGTTCAGATGCTTAAGTTGACTGGCATTTAACCTCTTAAATTTGTTTCATTAATACATGTGTACAGTTGGTTAGGAAGAGACTATATTACAATTTTATTTTTACACGTGTTTGATCAAATGACACACTAGATATATTTTTCTGAGGGAAAATGGACAAAACGTATTTTTGTAGATATAAAGGTTTCAACAATAAATATATTTTTGACACAGGTGTCTAGTAATGGATTTTATTCTTTTGAAGTAGGTGTATACATTCAGCTTCTCAAATAACGTGTTAGAAATACATGCACACACATGCTAAATTTGAAGAACGCAAACCCACACTGAGATGAGTAAGTCATTAAAATATTAATTCTACAGTAGCAAATATTTTATTAATGAATTGGTTTTGTGGATAGATTTATGTATTACATAATAAAACTAGAAAAACCTTAAATCTAATTAATTTAGTAAGCAAATTAATTTAAATTACACGGTCCTTTTATTTGAGTGTTAGCACAGAACAAAAACTGTTGTTTCCCATAACATCTTATTGCACATTTCTCAATTTCCAACTTAGATTTTTCTGTCATCTTCTTTTAAGTACTTATTCTTTGTATTTATTACCCATTCATAAGCTGCCAGATTGCTTACTCTAGATTTCCTCCTTTTGGGGTGTTTGACAGCGCTAGCAGCAAATCCCTGTTAGTTTTGGTTTTCCTAACGTCAGAGCTGTGCTGAGGTCTGTGCGGGGCGAGCG